GTTGCGACCGTTACGACGTTGGCTCTGCGGTTTCGTAAATGACATAATTAAACGTCACATTCTTATTAAACAATCGACATAATTACGGAATTGCGGTGTCGTCGCGACAAAATGGTACAACAATAGTCGTTTATCGTTTTCCAAACTACATATTGTACTCGAACAAAAAGTGAGAAGCCCATCGTTTGTTGCAATGCCTGCATCGCCGCAAGTTTCAACGTGTGAGAGGCCTAAGAGAGTGATGGGTTCCCGGCGCGGGCCAAAAATCCGCTAACCCCCGACACCGTGTACACTGGCCGCGGAAAATTGAATCTTGTCGACGCCCGGCAACCGCGGGATCGGCCGCGAATCTGCAAATCAAAAGGATACATCGCCGAACGCTCAAACAACTTTCCAATTCAGATTGCAGCTTGCCTTTCGCCGAGCCGGAATCGTTATTCAAACAGAAACATTCATTTTGCAATAAAAACCGGTTCCCTTCCGGACCGTTTTCGAGCGAGCCCCCGAAACGAAAAAAGAAAGAGATGGGGAAGGAAAGAGAAGAAAGAAAAGATCTTCAAAACGCTTTGTTGCCGAGTAGTCTTAAGCGTTCAACCTACACTACGCGACGCGTAGATATTATAGAAAAGACGAGGCACGACGGAGCAGGGAACGAAGGGCGTGAAAACGGGACGGGGTTGGTGCGGAAGGAGAGACCCTTCCGTTCACGCACCTGCACACGGTACAATTCGAAACGTCCCCTGCACTTCCGCGCGCAATTAGTCACGGAGGCGGGTTGAACGGTGCTCGGCACCCGCGATGCCTGCGAGAAAGGACGAGGAGGATCGCCGGGAATCGGGCGAAGGAGAGGGCGACCGAGTAATTCGACCAAGTGCCAGGAATGGTAATTAAGGGGGCGGGATCACGGAGAAAACCAGGGGGCGGCGGCGGCGGCTACGGCAGGGGGAGACACGCTTTGACGAGCCAAAAATAGAAGCGCTCTTCGCGTCGATCTCGCAGCAACGAACGAGCACCGCGTTATCCTAGCTGCGAACCTATCGATTTCCGAATTCGTCAAGAGACCCGAACCTTGCTCCCTCCGTGCCGGCCGCGACGCGGTTCTCAGCGGTTACCTAGGACGGTTCGTTTATATAATTGAAGTATCGAGGCATTAATTGCGGATCTAAGTAACGAAGCTTAATTGGCAGTTGGCTGTCTACGGGAGATTAATACGTCGGGGGAAGAACGCTGGAGGGTGGCGTTGGTCCGGGTAGTCTGCTTGTTACCTGAAAGGGTTGCCGGCATCGATGGAGTGTTCTCTCGTTTATCATGGTCCAGCGATTGGCATTAATGTATCGCTGAATCCTGCCGGCCTGTTTACTTTTCCATAAATCATCTTGGCTTTGAAAGGGTTTCGTAGTATAGTAACTGCTTCGGACCGGCGATCTTCGGCGCGCGCATTCGTTAGCATTGAAACCGAGCGTGTAGCTAACTGATCGAAATATAAAAATAACGCGCTATCTGTTTCCTTGCTTCGACGTTTCGACGAAATAATCATCCGTCGCTTCCAACCGAACAAAATAAACTGACTACTAACACGAAACTAGCACAGGTAGCTAAAAGATTCTCTGAAACAGCTTGTCAACGGACCACACGTACGCAAGGATCACTGGGAAAATCAAAAACGCGTCGATCCCAGCATCAAATTCGCGATATCCGTTTCCCCGGCAGCGAAGTCGAAACGAAACGAGTAAACGAGACGCAGAGGCAAACGAGAACGCGCAGGTGCCGACACACGGTGTCTAGCTCGGCAATAAAGACGTCGCGCAATCAAACTAGATAGGAGTCGGCCGGACCGGTCTGTCATGCCTTTATTCGCCGGCAGTAGGACCGAGTAAGGTATGCAGTTCGCGACGGGGTGAGTGGCAATATACGTGGAACGATGCCAGGGGGTCACGACTAGGACGCGCAAGCGAGATAAGCAGATAACGCGGCCGGGATAGGGGACACCGACGTTGTCCCGGATGGAATCTGTTGGCCGAAGGTGAGGAAGCCAAGGTTCGAACTGAGGTCGTCGTTACGCGGAAGAGAAAGAGTCGGAGAGTGTGTACGTACCCTCGTGCCAGTTCGACAGGGTGATCGTGCCGCCGGCTTCACGACGCCACGTGACCGTCGGCTCCGGGGTGCCAGTCGCGGCGCACCGTAACGTCACGTTGCTCCCCTCCAGCACCACCATGTCCGTGCTGGTAGGATAGTCCAGGATATCCGGGGGTACTGAAACAATGACCACATTGCAATGGTGTCAACCCGCCTCCCCCGTGTACGTAGCCGGGGTCGGGCACCGGGTCGAGCGCGGCACCATTCGCGGAGCGGAATAGATAGCTATCTGACCCCGGCGCGAGGTCCCGATCCGCCGATCCGCTCTTCACGGGTTGTTGTCTACATCCGCGAATATTGTTCGCCGGCGCACAACCGGCCGGCACCATGCTGGTCTGGCCATCGACGAACGGGCATCGCGTCCGCCCGTTCCACAACCGGGTGACACGGGGGATGCTGGAATTGCGAGGGGGGAACGGGAGGAATCCGATCGTAAAATCTCGAATCTGCTTCGACTGCCGCGCGCTCGAACGCAGCCGAACTTCCTGGATGCTCTGTCGTCTGCGTCGATTGCCGCGCGATACTCTTTCGAATTCGAGGAATATCGATCGAATTTTTGAAATATTGGACAGTCTTTGGGGCGATCGGGTAACGGGACGGGACGGGGGGTTCGCGATTGGTTCTGGCACCGGTCGCCGATGATTTTTACGATGCTGTCTGGTACGGTATTATGGATTAACCCTTTGCGCCGCTGCGCACGGCCGGATGGAACGTTCGATTCCGTCGGAGTGGCTAAGTGCTTTAGCCAGGTTTCGGCGGGTTTGTCGTGGGGATTGTTCTTAGGGGATACCTCGTGTTGCAGTAGTGATGGCGTAACGGGCTTACGGAACTCGTAGTTTTTGTGATAGAGGGTTTGTTAACGAAATGAAATGTGGAAAGTATAGTAATGGTATTCGGTGAATTACTATTTTACTCTGTTCATTTGCTAATTGTCGCAGAATGCGACTCGTAGCGTAACCCTTTCTCAATTTTGTCAACCACCCTTGTTACCATAGTTCTCTTTTTCATTCTCATTATGTTTTCCTGTTTCTGTCTTTATCTTTTTCTCTCGTTTCCTCGCACACATGTTCCTTCGATCACCCAAAATCTCGCGCATGCTGATTTATCACATTCGCGTCGACTCACGTTCACCCCCGAAAAAATCCTAAAATTGTTTCAGTGGCATGATATTGGTGTTGCGTATATAAGTAATTGATTGAAGCAGCGTGTTACTCTTGAAGTTAATTCGAGCAACATCGGCGCAAGTTCCAAAGTGGAAAACTTGGAACACTTCGGACCGCGAAGGGTTAATATTTAAATGGACTCCACCGAGAAGTTTGAACACTACGTTGATCGATTTTGTTGGTTTCTCTATTCTGCAGTTTCTGTTTCAATCTATTTCAGCTTTTAATTTCGCGCTCGGCTCACCGAAGCTTATTTGATCAGGGCGGTTAAAAATGTTACGTTTATAGATCGTTGAGCGAACGAATCATGAATTATGCACTGGAAGTAATTGAATCATTGTAATTAATCCGCAGAGTGTCATTACACGGATTAATTATTTGACTCCAATAATATAGCCGTTGTACAACATAATAGGAATTAAAAACAAATTGAATATGACACAATCGAACGTTTTTGACCCATCGAAGTTCTTCTACCGCCCTTCAAAATATATCAACGTGGATCCGGATCGCTTTGTGTAACATTAGAAAACGATTTGCGCAGAGGTAACCGCTTGAAAATCGTCGGAGAAGCAAAATTCCCGTATAAATGAATTATTACAAAAGTTATCACGACTTTACGGTGCCATTTTATTCAATTCCACGGTAATTAATGAAAGGGGCGCGCAGCGAGCGTAACGTGAATACGCGAAGACTGCATAGAAGTGTGAAAATTAAAAAGTGACTGTATTAATTAACGAAGCTTCTCCTATTTCTTTCCGCTCATCGCTGAAATCAGGAGCTTTACCGGAATGGAGGACACAACGGAGGATTATTTTCGCACACCACGATAGAACCATTAAAAGTACCCGCGCAGCGTGAAACAAAACACTTTCCCCTTTACGATTAAAATGCCGATTAAAGTCCCGGAGCGTGGCCAATTATTGCAAGCCAATGCCGAGGAACAAAAGATCATTGCGCCCCTCCGTCGCGCAGCGCAAGACGAGAAGAGTCGACCACGCGATTGGGCAGTGATTGCCACTTAATTTCCCCTCTTGCGTAACGCTTTCTGCAATTCAATTCGCAGAAGTATTCGAAGCACGCTAAGACGCCGAATGAAAAAAGTTTTTGAACGCGGGAATTATACTTAACGATTTATATTCTCAATGATCTTCTCTGGTATAGCTACCTTTCCTAATTTCGGCAACAAAGAAACATCAGATTTTCGATACGAATTTGTTCTTTCTAATCATAAAATCTAAATGGAACTAAGATAAAATTTCTCCAGCGACGGTTTGTTTCGAGTAAAACATTGCTTTGCATTATGACATTAAAGACGTGACTGTGAGTATTATATAACATGAAATTAAATTCGATAATTTATGTACATCTGTAGTTAAATGATACACACTTTCTGTCACGATTAAAATCCTTAAATTCTCTAGCAAAAGGATCCAAATTTCCTAAGTTTCATGAAGATTAGGTTCACAAACGTTTATTGCACAGTTTATTCCATTGTCCCCAGGAAAGCTGATGTTCACTTAGATCCTGGAAACTAGAGGTTCAAAAATAACCAATTATAACATACATTTCTGTAACCCCATCGATCAAAGCCGACGTAGACATTCCCCAAACGTTCATAAAATCCTGTAAACGTCAGATCGACGTGTTTCGCGAGTGTTAATATTCCAACTATTTCAGAGCACCACTATCTCCAGTAACTCCTTTCTCCGCGACGTTCCTTTCGCGTGGAAACGGATTGTTCGAAACCCGATCCGAAATAAATTTATCGATCACCGAACTGTGAAACGAAAAAGGAGCGATTAAACGCGGCACACGGGAAATCTTATTAAACCCACTAAAGCGGGGCTTTTCCTGCGTCGATAAAGAAATTCGTTGAACTGCGAAAGCAATTTCGTGCGGGGCCATTTTGAAATAGACGAAATTCAGCGTTTCGCACCGGCAAGAGACAGAGGGAACCCTAGTTTTCCTCCAAGTATCCGCTATAACGGTCTACTTTAAGCGTGAGATTGGGATGAGGCCCAATTAGCCGAGGCGGCAGCTTTATCAGCGTTGTCTCTCGGTGATGACGAGTCCCATGGAGGTACATATTATGGAACTTTGACGAGATGATAGGTTATCCACGAGTGGAAAAGTCCGAACGGCAAGACGACTTTTCCACTGACAACTGGCCGAGTCGCAGGACGAAGAAATCAGACGGCCAATGACAAGGATGTGCCAAAACTGAGCCGCTAACAATCGGGCTGAGCGCGGCGAGTGGACGTCTCTGTTTGCTCGCCAGCCCGGGTAGCCGACAGAGCCGGTTCCAGATGAGAAGAGGCGAACTGTAGGTATAGTGCAGCTTCGACCAGTTGGCAGTCTACCTACATGCTGAAAAGTCAGAGGGGCAGGAGGACTCTTCCGCTCACAATATTCGGACCGCCTCGGGTTTCGACGGGTGGTCGACATTGGCCGCGTCACAGTAACAAAGAAGCGGGACTGAATACAACGAACTAAGATGTAACGATAGAGATCAAAGTTCATAGTACTGCCAACTTCGTTTTCTATCGTTACATCTCACTTCGTCGCATTCAGTCTCACTTGTTACTGCCGCACGGCCAATACCGACCACCGACGAAACCCGAGGCGCTCCGAACGTTGTGAGTGGAAGAGTTCCTCAGCCCCTCTGACTTTTCAGCTTGTGGGTAGTCTGCCAACTCCTAGGAACTATGCTATATCTCGTCCATGCGATGGCTTGGTTGGCCCACGTCGACAAGAGGCACGGTGCAAAAAAGAGGGAGAAATGTAATGGTATTCTATGGTACGCAAGAGATTAAGGTGTGAATAAAGAGTGTTTATAACCAAGCGATAGGAGTGTAGGGTATGCGATAGATTAAGGTATAAATGAAAAGTGTTTATGACCGAGCGATAGGAATCGGGTGCCTGAGAAGAATTTTTAGGACCGAGTGACAGAGCTTGAGAGATTGAGGTGCGAATGAGGAATGTTTTGGGATCGAATGTTAAAGACTGTGTGAGTGAGAGAATGAGTGCAAGAGAAAGATAGAATAATTGGGAATGAAATAAGATGCGTGAAGGCAGAGAGGAGGGCCAGGCTGAGACAAGTGTTGGAAGAGTCAAGAGTATTCAAAATATATTAAAATCCAGAGAGTATTGTTCATTACACCTCTCCTACACAGCACATACATTAAAAATCCTACAGTATCGCAGTGACTCGTTCGCACGGTATTAAAAAATAAGCAGGTGTGCCGGTCAAAGGTTCTCGATCGGCCGACAATGAACCGAAATTAAATTTCGCCGCCGCTTTGCGCCGGCGGGGCGCGGCGCGCGTGGTTTCTTCGACGTTTCATTAATCGACACTCGACGCTTCGGGGTAGTATGGGGTGCGGCGTGGAACGCGCGTGGAAATGGAAAACGACCACCGCCCGACGCATTCTTCGGAGGAACTTCGCGGGACGCGAGGAATTTCTGTGGCGGATTGCTCTCGCACAGCAGCCCCGGCGAAATAGAATTGAGACGAATACTGCCGCCTAACACGCAGCCGCGCAGCAATAATGGAACCCCGGCACCCTTAATTGCAAGTTTACAAGCAATTTAATCATTCGGCCGCACATAAAGTTGCGTTCCATATCGGGCCCGGCTGAAATTGTCGCGGATTTTACGGCGTTCACGCGCTCGCTGCAACGATCACCGATGACCGGCAGTTTCTGATTGTTGGGGTGAGATCACGAAATGCACGATGATGTCGAATGAAACTGTTTGGCACTAGAACTATCGGGAAATTGGGGTTCTTATTTGGAGAAGTTAGTTCTAAGGTTTTGTGAATGTTGAAACAATACGTTTCTCGAGATTTAAAGAATATCTCCTATTCTTGTCTCTGTAGAAACAAATAAATTAACATAGTTTATAATATACTACAAAAGTAACTTAATAAGTTAACATTAACTGTACCGCGAA